GCTTTCTCAACTTCATAAAGAGTCAGAGGGCTTACGTCGACTTGCCATTCAGGATGACTGGAGATCGTGGGCAACCGAAGCGTGGCTGAATGCCAGTTGAACTGATCCTTAAAGTGTTCTGCCCATCGATCCAATCTCCTGGATTGAGAATGGATAATAAGACTATCCTTTTCTGAGATAGTTTCACTTACATTCGGTTTCCTTGATGAGTCTGAATAGTAGTCTACTGTTGCTTATTGCCGCTGCCTTTTCCATCGCTTTTGCTTTCGCTAACCACCACTGTTCTCGATCATTGCGTAGGCTTTTTATCAGCACGCGCCTAAGCTGACTCCGTTCCTCATCGCCAGGCGGGATGAGCTTTTGATCATCTATCAGCTCGGTAGATGCTACTAAAATCCACGGCTTCCCTCTAAACCCTACTAGCAGAAATCACTGCTATTTAGTGATTGCTAAAAATAGGCCGTTATCTGAGCACAGCTGCAGCAGGCGGTCGCTATTATCTGTTCTCTGAGCAACGATACCATAACATCCACTCAGAGGTCTTTCCTTTCCACCTAGTCTACCTACTTGAGCATTAAAGTCACCAGCCATTACTACTATGTCAGAGAGCTTAACTTTTTGAAGAAGAGATTTTCGTAAAACTCATCTTTTATGTCGTCTTAACTGCAGTCAGTAGGAGCGTACGCAGATACGACAAAGAGGCAACGGCGAATTCGCCTATATTTACGAGTCCGTACTATCCCGTTTAGCGGGACAGCGCATAATCGACTGTATACCGGGATCTAGTCTGAGAGAGCTTGTTTTGCCCTATTTGGCACAAGGTTCGAACATTAAAAGCTCCAATATGTAATTTAGTACGGGGTTTCAGGAGACCGGGAATAATGCTCCGTGAGCTTGTAGTGTGCCCGATGGCTGCGTGTTCTTAAGTTCGGTTTATAAATCAGAAGATGAACTCCAAGTATCGTATACGTTTATTCGAGGCACACCACATAGCGAATTGAAGAAGCGAATTGGAGAAGGCTAAGAGCCAACTCTTTGGATTACAATGCAAGCGAATGAGCGGAGCGAATTGGAGAAGGCTAGTGAGCCAACTCTTTGGATTACAATGCGAACGAATGAGTGAAGCGAATAGGAGAAGGCTGTTGAGCCAACTCCTTGAGATAGAGCATGACTAAGAATATATAGTCAGGTAAGAATAAGACAGACATATGACAAGCGAAATAGGTATGCACACACATGAATAAAAGCGACGAATGATTGACAAGGTCAAATGACAAGCGATACAAATCATGTGAGTTCATGGGAAAATTACGAGATTAACATTAAAGCGAAAAGGATGAGTAAGTGCGTAAGCGTAAGCAATGCTCAGTCGTACAAGCTCATACAAAGCAGATAATAAAAAATAACAATGGTACATATGAGTTGTTGCTATACAAATGGCTTGGTTAAATAAATTAATCGAAAGGGCTTAAGCAAATTAAATGTAAGCGGATGCAAATAAATGTGGATGCACTACAAGCTCAAACCGTCTGCTTCAGCGGCGCAAGGTGACAAACGATCGAAGGAAGAGTTGGTCGAGGAGATAACAGAGTTATTAGGTGGTGTAGAAAGGATTTGATTGTGACCAATTCGGTATCGTGTGCTTCTGTGTGTCGTGGATGCTCACTTCTGATGAGTTCCATACTTGGTGGTACAGTGCTTCGAGGTTTCTTATTGCGGTCTAACATTATGATTTCAATGAAAGTACACTTAATTAATCTGTTCACTTATGTCATTTGAGTTGTAGCAAATTAGTGCTTACATAACAGGAATGTCGAACACAATGCAAGACTAAAGAAAAACGAAAGATTTGGAGTCTTCGTTGGGTTATATCTTGAGCCATATTTCATAAAGCCTTGAGTTACTGAGCAGTAAACTTCATTTAGCTTGGGACAAATCAAGAAGTAACCCAAAAATTTCGGACCTTACAGGACCATATAGTAATATGAGTTCGTGCAGTCACTTCCCTTGTTTTTTGAGTATCAGCAAACAATATGCGAAGTGGAAACTACGGGGACGTTACGAGCCACCGAAACTGATATTTCAAAATCTCAACACTATAAACAGGGTCCAACTTTCTGGACCTCACTACTGTTAGCTCAGAATACAATCTCCTTTTAGGAGATTCCAGACTTAACAAGCATTAAACAGAATTGTACTTACTGAGACATCTCATAAGTGACCCAGATTCGCATTCGTCACCCTAGTCTTTGCTGCACATAGGCTGATATCATTTGACACCATCGCTATTCCCATCAGTTCACCACAAAGGGTAAGTGCAGACACAAGCTCCTACTAGTAGTTTACACTTGTCAAAAGTGATTGCACTAACATACACTAACCACTAGTACATTAAGTTGGATTCAGTGTCATATCAACACTCAGAGAATATAATTCACATGGTCAAGGTCAAAGTCTTTGAGTGAGAAGTTTGTTCCACTCCTATGCAATATCTTCGAGATGTCATTGATAACAAATTTAGTTAGGAGCGGTGAAGTTAGGCAAAACTTTCCTAAATGTTAATGAGCTCAGACATAAATTTCTAACTCAGTTCTTGAGTACAATCTTGTCCAACGAATCAAAATCATTCCTGATGCAAATGAACACAGATTGTTGGCTTGGAGCACGAAGAAGTGTCCGCACGTTCGGTGGAGACTGAAGGTGTGATCAATGCATTTACAACTTGGAGAAAACTTGTCCAAATCCTGAAAATTTAGTCTGTCGTAAGTTCTGAAACTTAGGACGTAATATTTTGCATGCAATAACTCGACGAAGTTCGCATGCACAACATATATGTGGGTAAGACCGTAGCTTTATACAAGATGGTTAAGTACCATCGGTTTGGCGCATATTTTAAAAAATCCTCCCGGCTTGTTAACCAGAATATTGCCATGGCCCCGAAAAAGTAACTGAGTTCCTTTAAAGTCATTATTACGCCATCTGGTTTAATATTCATGGACGAAAAAAATTAGGACATCTTGGTCAAAATGGCTAGAGAAGTAAACCAATCAGATCTTTTTCCAAGGTGGGTATAAAACATTCCCACAATTTAATGGAATATTAAAAAGTACACCAATAACATCTCAGTTATAGGAATATCTTTATTGGAGCTGTATTTGCACAGTTGAGTATAACGCTGTCACTAGCGAAGTTAGTGTTGGTGAACAAAACCGACCT